CTAATGCTATGGTTATTATATATCAAACTAATGCGATTGCTATTATATATCTAGCTAATGCTATGGTTATTATATATCAAGCTAATGCTATGGTTATTATATATCAAGCTAATGCTATGGTTATTATATATCAAGCTAATGCGATGGTTATTATATATCAAGCTAATGCGATGGTTATTATAAATCAAGCTAATGCGATCGTTATTATATATCAAACTAATTCGATGGTTATTATATATCAAACTAATGCGATGGTTATTATATATCAAACTAATGCGATGGTTATTATATATCAAGCTAATTCGATGGTTATTATATATCAAACTAATGCGATATTTATTATATATCAAGCTAATGCGATGGTTATTATATATCAAGCTAATTCGATGGTTATTATATATCAAACTAATGCAATGGTTATTATATATCAAGCTAATGCGATGGTTATTATATTTCAAGCTAATTCGATGGTTATTATATAACAAGCTAATGCGATGGTTATTATATATCAAACTAATGCAATGGTTATTATATATCAAACTAATGCGATGGTTATTATATATCAAGCTAATGCGATGGTTATTATATATCAAAGTAATGCGATGGTTATTATATATCAAAATAATTCGATGGTTATTATATATCAAGCTAATTCGATAAATATTATATATCAAACTAATGCGATGGTTATTATATATCAAACTAATGCGATGGTTATTATATATCAAGCTAATGCGATGGTTATTATATATGAAACTAATGCGATAGTTATTATATATCAAGCTACTGCGATGGTTATTATATATCAAACTAATGCGATGGTTATTATATATCAAGCTAATTCGATGGTTATTATATATCAAGCTAATGCGATGGTTATTATATATCAAAATAATTCGATGGTTATTATATATCAAGCTAATTCGATAAATATTATATATCAAACTAATGCGATGGTTATTATATATCAAACTAATGCGATGGTTATTATATATTAAACTAATGCGATGGTTATTATATATCAAGCTAATGCGATGGTTATTATATATCAAACTAATGCGATGGTTATTATATATCAAGCTAATGCGATGGTTATTATATATCAAACTATTGCGATGGTTATTATATATTAAACTAATGCGATGGTTATTATATATCAAGCTAATGCGATGGTTATTATATATCATACTAATGCGATGGTTATTATATATCAAGCTAATGCCATGTTTATTATATATCAAGCTAATGCGATGGTTATTATATATCAAGCTAATGCCATGGTTATTATATATCAAGCTAATGCGATGGTTATTATATATCAAGCTAATGCGATGGTTATTATATATCAAGCTAATGCGATGGTTATTATATATCAAGCTAATTCGATTGTTATTATATAACAAGCTAATGCAATGGTTATTATATATCAAGCTAATGCGATGGTTATTATATATCAAGCTAATGCGATGGTTATTATATATCAAGCTTATGCGTTGGTTATCATAAATCAATCAACCATTAAATTTTAATGAGTTTTAATCGAAATAAATAGATTATTGATCACCATAATGTAAATAGACTCACCTTAAAATCCATGGGTATTGTGTTCTGATTTTCTCACTGTCGATTCTAATTACTATCTGTCGTCACGTATTTTTTGGAATACACCTCTACTTAAAAGGATTGTAAAGAGGTTTTCTCAAAATTTTCAAGAGGTTTTCTTAATATTTTTTTTTCTTTTTATTGGTGATAGCAACAATTAGCACCATTTCAATTATCAATCAGACGTCTCAGAGAGTCCACATAACTAATAATGTTTATTTGGTATTTAGGTTTGTCTACTCAGTACCCCTTTCAGAGAGTTCACATAGCTAATAATGTTTATTTGGTATTTAGGTTTGTCAACTCAGTACCCCTTTCAGAGAGTCCACATAGCTAATAATGTTTATTTGGTATTTAGGTTTGTCAACTCAGTATCCCTTTTCAGAGAGTCCACATAGCTAATAATGTTTATTTGGTTTTTGGGTTTGTCAACTCAGTACCCCTTTCAGAGAGTTCACATAGCTAATAATGTTTATTTGGTATTTAGGTTTGTCAACTCAGTATCCCTTTCAGAGAGTTCACATAACTAATAATGTTTATTTGGTTTTTGGGTTTGTCAACTGAGTATCCCTTTCAGAGAGTTCACATAGCTAATAATGTTTATTTGGTTTTAGGGTTTGTCAACTCAGTATCCCTTTCAGAGAGTTCACATAGCTAATAATGTTTATTTGGTATTTAGGTTTGTCTACTCAGTACCCCTTTCAGAGAGTCCACATAGCTAATAATGTTTATTTGGTATTTAGGTTTGTCAACTCAGTATCCCTTTCAGAGAGTCTACATAGCTAATAATGTTTATTTGGTATTTAGGTTTGTCAACTCAGTATCCCTTTCAGAGAGTCTACATAGCTAATAATGTTTATTTGGTATTTAGGTTTGTCAACTCAGTATCCCTTTCAGAGAGTCCACATAGCTAATAATGTTTATTTGGTATTTAGGTTTGTCAACTCAGTATCCCTTTCAGAGAGTCTACACAGCTAATAATGTTTATTTGGTATTTAGGTTTATCAACTCGACATCCCTTTCAGAGAGTCCACATAGCTAATAATGTTTATTTGGTATTTAAGCTTGTCAACTCAGTATCCCTTTCAGAGAGTTCACATAGCTAATAATGTTTATTTGGTATTTAAGTTTGTCAACTCAGTATCCCTTTCAGAGAGTTCACATAGCTAATAATGTTTATTTGGTATTTAAGCTTGTCAACTCAGTATCCCTTTCAGAGAGTTCACATAGCTAATAATGTTTATTTGGTATTTAGGTTTGTCAACTCAGTATCCCTTTCAGAGAGTTCACATAGCTAATAATGTTTATTTGGTATTTAAGTTTGTCAACTCAGTATCCCTTTCAGAGAGTCCACATCTTTTTAACCTAATGATGATCAGATAACCTTCAGTTGATAGAATTCTTTTCTCTTAAACCAGTTGTAAATAAGTACGTATGATTCGGGAAAGATCAATGCCAAGAGATTCGACCAAGGACCAGCTGGAAGACAGGATCCTGGAGAACCTAAGTTGTTATACTGGTAATAAATGGTCCTTTCTTCCTTTTTTTAACTTCACTTCCAACTCACTTTACAAATATTCAACGTCCTTTTTAGTGTAAGAATATTTCAAAAACTTCAACATTGTTTAAACATCTTTTCTTTTCAAAATCAACCAAATTTCTAAAAACAAATTAACTTTCTCAAAACCAAAACTACTAAAACAATTAACTTTCTGAAAAATAAAACACGACAAGTAATTCCAAGGACGATACTCGACTAATCACTTGAAACCTGATTGAAAAGAAAAACATCTTCTGTAAGAACTATAGATAGTACACTGTATTATATATTTTATGTAAAAACCAGATGATAATACACGTTTTGTTCAATGAATATTGACTTACCAGATAGCTTCCGCCATTTGTCCATTAATTACTCTTTTTCCAAACATTTACAATGTAAACTCCATCAAGGAAAAGTTAAAGTAAAGAAAAGGAAAGGGGTATAAATCAATATACAGAGTATTTTAATAAAAACTTTAATCAACATGACGTGAGAAGGCGTGGAAGTAACATGGTGTGCATAGAATTCAATGTAAACACTTATGCAGGCTTCACACTGTTCTGATATTGACACCAGATGGTCATACCAATAAGGAAAGTTGAATTTCGGTCAAAGATAACCCCGCACTAGGACAGCAGCCAAACTAAGGCAGAAGTTAGTACGATGCCTCCAGAACGCCACACGATAACACCAAAACCAAAAGATGGCTTCATGACGCTTCGCGTGACCTGCCGATGGTATAAAACTTTCAGCCTACCTTGGCAGCAGACTGTAGAATAGTCAGAATCAACCAACAACCATCACTGGTCGGGGATCATCGGGAGCAGAACACACTCTACATTTCAAAATTATTTTAAATTCGACTGTCTTTCTGGACACCGAGGTCCCATCGTGATGTAATACGGTGGCTCCACAATGGATCCACGACGGAATTGCGAGGGCTCGTGTAGTCGTGTGTTCTTTCTAAATCAAGCGGACAGCTTCTTGTTTTCTTCGTAAAATGTCCGATGGCACATTAATAGTACGAAGTAAAACCGAAGATGACACTATATGACAGGATGCCTTCACGAAGGCCAAAATGAACACACAAATTCAACATGAAAATAAGCCTTCGCAACGCCCTTCGAAAATGTTTGCATGCCGAAGATGATGCCAACGCTCACGGAATAGCTGTAGGAGAGTGAAAAACTCAACCGGCGGTCATACGATTAAGATGTCCTCACGAATGACCCGATATTAATACGATCAGGCCCAAATTTGAACATTTCCTGCATCTGGTGTCAACTTCTGGACAGTGTGACGCGACCTTAAGTAAACCCGACACAACACTGTTGACGGTGTGTGTCAAAGCGTGAATAATTCGCGAACAATACGCAGCCTACGAAGTACAAACAAATAGAGCCAATAGAGCTGTACAATACAAGGAAAAAAATTGTGCAAGTATCAGGGTTAGTGGCGTATCTAGAAAATGCCTGAAGGAGGGGGAGGGGGAGCAAAAAATGATAGGTGTCTCTCCAAGGCGAGGCTCTAAGTTGCGGGTGGCATGAATTAAAGATGGCCTGAGACGAACCTTGCTTAATTTCACTTAAAATAAGATCTATCACAGGCCCTAAACCCCCCCCCCCCCCCCTAAATATGCTACTGGTCAGGATGTTTTAAGTCTGGAGTGAACAAAGTCTAGGGGATCATATACTTAACAAAATATCGAATACTTGTTGTTAATATCAAGAAAGATAAAATGAATTCTCAAGGGAACAATCTGGTTAAACATGAAAAACATGTCATGTTAACTGTTCTTTTGAGATTTTATGTTTTTAAGATTCTTTTTTGGAATTTCCCTCAGGCTTAATTAATTAGTTATAAAGGCAAATAAGAGAATCATTCGAGATTGGCATGAAATTCACACGAGACGTACCTCAATTAATCGATGCGATGCGACAGAGCGTCACGGCGATTTCCTTCCACGAAATTTTGCATGCAATGAATTATCTCCCAAAGTCTCTAAATTGAAGGACTATATTTAGGTCGCAAAATTACTATCACTAGGTAGGTAGGTAGGTAGGTCGCAAAATTGCTATCACTTGACAAAACACTGCAAAATATCGGAAGTAACGAGTCTCAAAGGAAGATACAACGGAATTCTCTATACATTACCGAGTCGGATACAGCTTTACGGAAAATGCCGAGGATTGCCGAATGTTGAGCGTAATGTTGATGTAATGTGATGTACACAAAAAGGCTGCCTAAACTATTATATGTGTCACATGTTAAAAATTCGCCAAGATCGGGTTTAACATTTCACTGCCGATTTAAGCGACGTGATCTATCGAAAATAACATGCTGGTTTGTTCCTACAACTACATGGAAACTTCACTTCAAAACTATGGTCAACTCTCCCTTTAAAAAAATAATTCATTTTTCATATCTCAAAGAGTTGAATCTGTCTGAATTCAGAGTGGTCGATAGCTCTTTATATCTTAAAAGACCGGATTCTAATTAAAACATCACACGATGATCAACAGAATAGAATAAACACTATTAACATTGTTCAAGCTATCATCAACCAGCCATTAGTACACGAGTTTGTTCATAAACAGCTATTAGTACACGAGTATATTTAAAAACAGCTATTGCTACACGAGTATGTTTATAAACAGCCATTAGTACACGAGTATGTTTATAAACAGCCATTAGTACACGAGTTTGTTTATAAACAGCTATTAGTATACGAGTATGTTTATAAATAGCCATTAGTACACGAGTATGTTCATAAACAGCCATTAGTACACGAGTATGTTTATAAACAGCCATTAGTACACGAGTATGTTTATAAACAGCCATTAATACACGAGTTTGTTTATAAACAGCTATTAGTATACGAGTATGTTTATAAACAGCCATTAGTACACGAGTATGTTTATAAACAGCCATTAATACACGAGTTTGTTTATAAACAGCTATTAGTACACGAGTATGTTTATAAACAGCTTTTAGTACACGAGTATATTTATAAACATCCATTAGTAAACGAGTATGTTTATAAACAGCCATTAGTACACGAGTATGTTTATAAACAGCCATTAATACACGAGTTTGTTTATAAACAGCCATTAGTACACGAGTATGTTTATAAACAGCCATTAATACACGAGTATGTTTATAAACAGCTATTAATACACGAGTTTGTTTATAAACATCCATGTTCTGTTTTGCCGATGGAAATTGACGATAATCCCAACTAGCGCCACAGGCAGGTTAACGCACACCCAAAAACCATCAAGATAGAATGTCAATATAGATGATATTTTATTCACAGTGTTTAATGGTAGTAGGTAGTGGTAAAATAACTGTAAAGCAATGACATCTTAGCCACGGCAAACAATTCTTAAAACAAATGGCGCCATGCCATAACAATCGAGACACAATTAACCAGACTTTTAAAGAACAGTGAATCGAGTAAAGAGTTCCACGTGCGCAGTCCTAGGAATATGCTTACGATAATAAAATAAATGTGACATGATAAAATTCTTGCTTGCATTTGTACTCCTGATAATCTTATGGATATAGAATTAACATAAATATCAAAATAAAAATATTTATTAGATGGATCAACTCGAATGACAACTCGAATACAACGCGAGTTATAAGGGACTGGTGAATCGCGTTATTAATAATAAAAAATAAGGTGCGCTATATGTGACACTTTTAGAATGTTTTCAAAAGATAAATCAATAAATGTTTATAAAACAGCACAACCCATTAGTAAACGAGTATGTTTATAAACAGCTATTAGTACACGAGTTTGTTTATAAACAGCTATTAGTACACGAGTATGTTTATAAACAGCTATTAGTACACGAATGGGTTTATAACAGCCATTAATACACGAGTATGTGTATAAACAGCCATTAATACACGAGTATGTTTATGAACAGCCATTAGTACACGAGTATGTTTATAAACAGCCATTAGTACACGAGTATGTTTATAAACAGCCATTAATACACGAGTATGTTTATGAACAGCCATTAGTACACGAGTATGTTTATAAACAGCCATTAGTACACGAGTATGTTTATAAACAGCTATTAGTACACGAGTGTGTTTATAAACAGCCATTAGTACACGAGTGTGTTTGTAAACAGCTTTTAGTACGCGAGTGTGTTTATAAACAGCCATTAGTACATGAGTATGTTTATAACAGCCATTAGTACACGAGTATGTTTATAAACAGCTATTAGTACACGAGTGTGTTTATAAACATCCATTAGTACACGAGTATGTTTGTAAACAGCTTTTAGTACACGAGTGTGTTTATAAACAGCCATTAGTACACGAGTATGTTTATAAACAGCCATTAGTACACGAGTATGTTTATAAACAGCCATTAGTACACGAGTATGTTTATAAACAACCATTAGTACATGAGTATGTTTATAACAGCCATTAGTACACGAGCATGTTTATAAACAGCTATTAGTACACGAGTATGTTTTTGAACTGCTATTAGTACATGAGTATGTTTATAACAACCATTAGTACACGAGTGTGTTTATAAACAGCTATTAGTACACGAGTATGTTTATGAACAGCCATTAGTACACGAGTATGTTTATGAACAGTTATTAGTACACGAGTATGTTCATAAACAGCTATGACTACACGAGTATGTTTATAAACAACCATTAGTACACGAGTATGTTTGTAAACAGCTTTTAGTACACGAGTGTGTTTATAAACATCCATTAGTACACGAGTATGTTTATAAACAGCCATTAGTACACGAGTATGTTTATAAACAGCTATTAGTACACGAGTATGTTTATGAACAGCCATTAGTACACGAGTATGTTTATGAACAGCTATTAGTACACGAGTATGTTCATAAACAGCTATGACTACACGAGTATGTTTATAAACAACCATTAGTACACGAGTATGTTTATAAACAGCCATTAGTACACGAGTATGTTTATAAACAGCCATTAGTACACGAGTATGTTTATAAACAGCCATTAGTACACGAGTATGTTTATAAACAACCATTAGTAAACGAGTGTGTTTATAAACAGCTATTAGTAAACGAGTATGTTTATAAACATAAACGAGCAAACTATATTGTAGTGTAAACCAGTAAACTATTTTGTTGTGTAAACCAGTAAACTATATTGAAATTTTAACCAGTAAACTATATTGTAGTGTAAACCAGTAAACTATATTGTAGTGTAAACCAGTAAACTATATTGTAGTATAAACCAGTAAACTATATTGTAGTGTAAACCAGTAAACTATATTGTAGTGTAAACCGGTCTACTATATTGTAGTGTAAACCAGTAAACTATATTGTAGTGTAAACCAGTAAACTATATTGTAGTGTAAACCAGTAAACTATATTGTAGTGTAAACCAGTAAACTATATTGTAGTGTAAACCAGTAAACTATATTGTAGTGTAAACCGGTAAACTATATTGTAGTGTAAACCAGTAAACTATTTTGTAGTGTAAACCAGTAAACTATATTGTAGTGTAAACCAGTAAACTATATTATAGTGTAAACCAGTCAACTATATTGTAGTGTAAACCAGTAAACTATATTGTAGTGTAAACCAGTAAACTATATTGTAGTGTAAACCAGTAAACTATTTTGTAGTGTAAACCAGTAAACTATATTGTAGTGTAAACCAGTAAACTATATTATAGTGTAAACCAGTCAACTATATTGTAGTGTAAACCAGTAAACTATATTGTAGTGTAAACCATTTTTAAACGGTTTAGATTGACCCCCTACATGATGAACATCGTAAATGTAAACTTCGTCTAATATTTTGAATGCAATAGTCACCTTTCTTGTGTCACAGAAGTTGGTATATGTATCTATTTGATTGTACTCAAAGGAATACAGCTAATCTGAAGCGTCTGTCAACAATACGGACTCACATCACTAAAATATTTTATGCAAATGATTGTATGAATGTAGTCCAGACTATTTTTTAGAAATGTAGTCAAGACTATTTTTAGACATTTTCTTTCTGTTTTTGCATGCCTAATTTTTGGTCTATATTTGGAATTTGATGTCTGAAATTGCATTATCTTTAAGATTTGGTGAGACGATGAGAGACCTAAAGGCGGAAGGCTAACCCTCCCTTCCCCGAAATCTAAAAACTGTCGTTTTGTGAACTGTCAAACTCTAGTGGATGAGTATAACTGGTAGTAGTCTACTTTCAATTTTAGTAGCTCAAAATTTTCATGGTCATCATATATTAATTTTTTTAGGAGACTTTAAGGATTGACCAGGCTTTCATTCGACATATTGGATAGCTTTCAACGATATTTCTGGAAAAAGTTGTAGACGAAGAATATTTGAATTTGTGCAACAGCAAGTCTATTATAGTAAAATAGGTGTAATGATATCTGTAAGTTAGGCCGGAAATCTATTCATTGGTGTAAAGTGGCGACATATTCTAAACTATACAGTAGTAAATTTCTAAACGTAGTAGGGAGAGTTTACATCGGCAGTATTATTTGTCAAAACGCTTGGACAGAGAAATAAACTTATGAACAGTAGAAAAAATATGAACATTGCTACTTAATGGGAGGTCTGAATTGCCAAATAGAAGAGAAGAGATAGAACGATGGTGAGATGGAATGAGATTTATTGTCATGTTGCGCATTTTTGAGAATAGTCTGCAATGGAGTAAGTAATGCTCCGAAACCTCGAAGGGATGTCCACATAAACATGATGAAGTGTCACTGATGTGCATAAGGAATTTGTGAGCTTGCAAGGTACTCTTACAATGCCATAATCTGGTATGGAAAATTTGGGGAGAACGATCACCTAAGTAAAAATATGCAGGGACAGAAGATTTAGAAATATATTTTGAGAGCTCGTTTTTTAGTGTAGACAGAGAAGAAGAATTACGAATGGTGATGGGTAAGTCATTCCAGGTTTGTATAGTATAAGGAAGGAAAGAAGAGTTATAGGAAACTGTTTGCCAGGGCAAAGTGCGAAGCTGAGAACCGTGTCGAACATTATATGGATTTACAGTTAAAACATTCGGGGAATCAGAATACTTAGATATTGAGGTGTCATTCTGTTTATCATTTTATAAAATAGAATAACTTGAGGTGAAAATCTTCGATCACTTAAACTAGTTAAACCAGATTCTTTATATAAAATAGAATGAGATGTGAATCGAACAAGGCCTGTGATTGAATGGATAACATCCACATTTAAAAGCGTCGTTTTGAGAACAATTATTCCATAAATTATCCGCATAATCATAAATTGATAAAATAAATTGTTTATACAACGTTTCAAGAGATTTACGAGAGAGTCGATACAGGCGAAGACAGGCGACCATATTTGAGGTTTTAAAAACTAAATAATCAATGTGAGATGTTCCATTCTTACTAAAAAATTACACCTAAATGTTTGTGCTCATCTGTATCAGTGAGAACTGTATGGTTAAAATCGAGGCTAAAAAATGAAGGATCGTGTTTTCTAGAAAAAGTCATACATTCGGTTTTCTGGGGGTTAAAGGTGTCTTTCCATTTGACAGAACAAAGGTGAATACGTTTTAAATCTCTGTTAAGGGTAAAACGGCACACCATATATATATCAGTATGATGATCTTAATGAGAATTAATATGAACATCACTTTCTACTAATATGTCCTAGATACAATCGGCTCTGGGGGGAATATTTAACATATGATTTTCTTATTATACAAATTTATACCTTTTCCTAAATATTATATAATATAATATCTCTCGTCATGTATAGCTAAGGACATTTCTTGTTTTGTGTATTTTTACTTTTGAGGAAAGTAAAAAGGGACCACGATTTTATATGATATATTTTGTGTTATATATTACTTTTGTATTCTGTTATTTTATTGTACATGTACCATATTTCTATATTATATCACTACCTATTTCGTCTCTTCACTGTAAATTATTGTATTGCTTTCATATTTGTATGCTGCCCACAAAGAGCGTAATAAATCTGATCTTATAAAGGTAAATAAATCATGTATAAGACTCTCAATGAAAGTATCTTTAGATATAAATGGTTTTTAATGTATAATCTCTGTGACGGCTGGCATAAACGAAACATATGTATAATTTTTACAGAATAGCCTATAAATAGGGTTTCGGGAACAAGCCAAGTCTTATGTTATTCCGTCACCAAATACAATGTAACAAAATACAGAAAATATAAATGAATAGATAAATAAATAAATAAATTGGCATATTAATATATATAATAATATAACAATAAAGTAATTTGATAGTTACTACAGTTGATTGTGTATATATATATGAAAGAAACTGTGCAAAAGTGCATACAGTGTCCACACCAGACAGGGGTCGACATCACCAAGTATTCCGTCCTTCCACAAGCACAAATGAAGCTACAGACAAAGACAGCCGGGCTGGTAACTGGAGGCTGTATTAGCTTTCAATAAAATGACATGGCGGAAGAAGACCGATGTTGTTCATGGCGGTATACAGAAGTGTAATTGAAATCGAGTTCAAATATAGTTTGGGGAGCAGACAGTGATTTGAATTCGATTTAAGATCAGGGTATGTAGGCACAATCAGCAAAATACAAAAACGAAACATTGTCGCCAATGTGCAACTGTGTTTATCAACTGTTTTAGATCACCTGCTGCCAATGTGCGACTGGGTTTGTCAACTGTTTTAGATCACCTGCTGCCAATGTGCAACTGTGTTTATCATCTGTTTTAGATCACCTGCTGCCAATGTGCAACTGTGTTTATCAACTGTTTTAGATCACCTGCTGCCAATGTGCGACTGGGTTTGTCAACTGGGTATCACTTTCACAGATTTCATATTAGTAGTTGTTAGATTATTTCAAATATACAGTCAGGTATAATATCAAAATTTCACTTATTATTCATTGAGTTCTGATAATCTAATATCAAAGCTTCATAGTTGGGTAAATTATTCACATCCATATTAAATTAATATTTAACATTATATTCTGAATAAAAATTTTGAAAGTAAGGGTAGAAAAAAAACCCAAAACATGACCACGAAAGTGAAATATGACAGTCCATGATGGTTGGAGCTAGAATTGAAACGACTCAAGTCAAGTCAGTTGAGACGAAATACAAAAAAAAAAATGGTGATAAATTATCATCAGATCTCATTGCATTGATTTTAATATTGAAGAGAATGTAAAATATTTATAATATACGAAGATACCCTGTTGTTGTCGTCTATAGTATGTAAATATTTTATCTTTTCCTTGTGTGTATATATTTAGTAACTAGGGTTGTCATCAATTCTTGGTAAAATAAAACACTTTTAATCCATTTTCGAGAGAACAAGTTGTTATTTAATCCATATTCAATTCATATATACATAATATCTTAGCATGCTTTCAGCTTAATAGCTTCTTCAGAGATATAAAATGATTTTAACTTTTAACAATATACACCTTTCAGAGGTAACTATTCAAAACATATATATTAAACACCGTTATCCCAGATTATATTTTATAACACTTTAATCACATTTCTCTCAATAAAGAATGTTTATTATATTAAATATAACATAATTAAAGAAATAACATAAGATTGAAAATAGACTTGGCAGTAATAGTATAGTAAATACACATCTTATGTCCAAAAAGTATTTCGGGTATTTCGGTATTATAAGATCAATGAAAGTATTTCTACCTCTACCTCTATCTTTATCTTCATCTTCATCTTCATCTTCATCTTCATGTGTCAATTGCGTAAGTTTTTGTTTTACTTGTTATAATTTTTCACATCATTGTTAGCGTTATTTATCACCTAAATATATATTTTTTTGCATTTTTCATCTTGCTTTATATATCCCCAAACCCAGTTTGACTTATTTGCATAATTTGATCCCAACATTTTCACGCTAGCATATACAGTTTCCTCCTGTTACATCTGCTGTACATTCCCTTCTAACCCCAAGTTATTTTCATTATGCTCCCCAACTACAACAACCACTGGCAAGAAGCCAGAAATAGAAACACTAATCGTCAACCAAACCAATATCACGTACCCTACAACGGCCCTGTCTTCCATCGACCTCTACCACCTACCAATCGCCGACCACCAACCAACCCATCCAGCTATATCCCACCCCATCGCCGACCTACCTACAACACACCTCTCTACCAATCAAGAGGTAACCATCGACCTGACCAACAACAGAAACGACTACCAGCCCACCGACGCCAACCAGTCCCCACTCATAAGGAGGAAGAACCCTTTGTTTTGCAGTGCCTCCATCATTTGGCAACCCTTACCCTTCAACAGCAAGGCCAACCAGCGTTTACCTTCAAACGCAAAGTCTCTGAGTTGGATAGTTTTATCCGTCCAGCAATGAAAACATCAGCTGTCGACGCGAATATTAGATCCCTCAATCGGACATGGCTCTGTAAGGTTACGCAGGTCCTGATCGACCATTACCAAACCACACTTCAAGAGAAGCTGACCACCATTCGTACCAAGTCTTTATCATCACCTGCCGTCGACCGCATCGTTTCTCATGCCCTGTCCTGGGCCCGTCGCTCCTATGGGAAACGTCTCACTCAAGCTGTAATTTTCAAATTCTACCAAACAATCAACGAAACAAAAACCAGAGTAACCATATCTCTACCAACTGAAATGGACACTACACCTGCACCTTCTAGAGCTACCACGCTGCCGAACCAAACCCCTAAACGAGCCCGAAGTTCACCTACCCCTAGTCCAGCAGACATAGGTAAACGCTCTCGTAGAGAGGGCACACCCCTTCTCTTTTCACTTTCAGACTCGTCTTCCCCTTCCACACCATCTGAATCTTCACCACGTGATCCAGGATCCGCCAACCTTTCTTCCTTCTGTGCGTTTTTGGACCAGCAAACCACCCCTCAGTCTCCATCCAAGTCGAGACATGTATCCAGACCTTCCCCTCCGCGAACGAGATCCCAGTCCGTTCCCAATGCTACAATTCTAACAACTACCAAACCAGTACCAATCACACCGTCGACGACCATTATATCCGCTACCAAACCGTATTATCACCAAACCAAGGACAAATCATTATGGAAACTACCTGCTCTAAAGAAATCAACCTTAATAATTGGATCATCTAACCTGAATCGAATTACCAAAACCAGTTCAGACACCGAAATACATTCTTACCCCGGTGCCCAAATCCATCACATACAGTCAATCCTGGAATCATACGACCATGATCCCAAACCTACTACCATTATTCTTCATGTAGGCCTCAACAACCGTGATCAGATACCAAAGACCTCCTTTAACCAAGCCCAGAAATTAATCGCCACAGCCAACAAAACCTTCCCAAACTCCAAGATCCTCTTCACATGTATACCCATTTCAAATAAAATCTCGAAGAAAGCACAACAGAACCTCAGCACCCTCAACAACATG